CAACTTTTTTTCATGGATATCTTGAAGAAGAGATTTACATGCTCCAGCCTGAAGGTTTTGATGAAGACGAAAAGAAGAACTTGGTTTACAGGTTGAACAAATCTATGTACGGTCTAAAGCAGGCACCGAGGTGTTGGTATAAGAGATTTGATTCATTCATTATGTGCCTTGGATACAACAGACTTAATGCTGACCCTTGTGCTTATTTCAAGAGGTCTGGTGATAACGATTTTGTTATATTTGTTGTTGTATGTGGATGACATGTTGGTTGCAGGACCCAACAAAGACCATATTGAATAATTGAAGGCACAACTGGCTAGGGAATTTGAAATGAAGGACTTGGGATCAGTAAACAAGATTCTACGGATGCAAATTCACCGAGACAGAAGTAATAGGAAGATTTGGCTTTCACAAAAGAATTATTTGAAGAAGATATTGTCACGATTCAGCATGCAAGATTGTAAGCCAATTTCTACTCATCTTCCTATTAACTTCAAATTATCCTCCAGTATAAGTCCTAGCAGTGAAGAAGTGAGGATGGAAATGTCTCGAGTACCGTATGCATTAGCAGTGGGAAGTTTAATGTTCTCTATGATATCTACAAGACCAGACATTGCACAAGTAGTGAGAGTGGTTAGTTGGTACATGGAGAATCCAGGAGAAGAGCATTGGAATACAGTAAAGAGGATCATGAGATACATCAAAGGGACCTCAATTGTTGCATTATGTTACGGAGGATCAAACTTACTAATCAATGGGTATGTAGATTCTGACTATGCATGAGATTTGGATAAAAGCAAATCTACTACATGATATGTGTTCAAAATTACTGGTGGAGCTGTAAGTTGGGTTTCAAAATTGCAGTCAATTGTGGCTACATCCACAACAGAGGCAGAATATGTAGCAGCTACACAAGCCAGTAAAGAAGAAATTTGGTTGAAGATACTATTGGAGGAGCTTGGGCACAATCAAGAGTATGTCTCTCTGTTTTGTGACAGTTAAAGCGCCTTGCATCTAGCAAGGAATCCAACATTTCATTCAAGGAAAAAACACATACGAGTTCAATACCATTTCATTCGTGAAAAGGTAGAAGAAGGGACAATAGATATGCAGAAGATCCATACCAAAGACAACATAGCAGCTTTCATGACGAAGGCAATCAACGCTAATAAATTTACCTAGTGTCGATCCTCTTGTGGCCTGTCAGAAACGTAAGCAACATGAAGGTACAAGGTAGAAAGAATGGTGTGAAGATATGATTGTTCCAATCAAATCTTCAAGTGGGAGATTGTTGAAAAGTCATACATCCAGACGACTAATTTGGACAGCAAATGGGGCGGCTATTTTTTGTCAAAAAGTGACACCAAATTGTTGAAATAATAAAGGGATAATTACTAAAATTTAATCCCTAAACTTTAGGGTATTTACAAGATTAATCCTCAAGCTTCAACTATAAATACCCTAGCTCATTTAGCTTCAAAACCATCCCAAAGCATTCTAGCTTTCTTCATATACTAGAGAATTTAGAGAGTTTCTTGAGAGTTGTTTTTCTCCTTTTTATCAAGAGAGAATTATCATTGTTTTCTCCTTGGTAGATCGAGAGAGGTTGTAATTCCTATTTTCTCATAATGAAATTCTTCTACCGTTGCCCGTTGTTTTTACCCTATATTATTTAGGGGTTTTCCACGTAAATTTTGTGTCTTCTTTATCTTTATTTTTATTTTCTCAAATTATCAGTTGCGATTTTCCTCTATCCGATAGCCGTCTTCCGCAACAATTGGTATCAGAGCCAGATTAGAGTGTGTAATATATGCTTATTATCTTTTTGGTTGCCACCAAAAAGTGGATCCTCCAACATTAGAAAGTAAGAAGTTATTACTCATTCTTTGAAGGTTCCAGAGAACTATTCACGATAGTGAAATAGTGGGAGCTATCCGCAATAGAAACAATGGCAACGAAATTTGATATTGAAAAATTTAATGGGAGAAATTTCTCATTGTGGAAATTGAAGTAGATTCTGGCATCCGGAGAGTGTACAATTTCCACTTAAGGAAAATTTTATTGTACAACGATGTGGCCTCGTACAATTTGGTGAGATGATCACATATCTCCTTAGCTGTCTTCTTCTCCTCGATGCTTGACAATACTTCATCTGCTAATGCAAGATGAAAGTTTGCCATAACATTTCCGTCCATTTCGATCCATTTGTTGTCATATGTGAAATCCACCGGTCTTTCACTGATAGCTGCTAGACAACCGTCTTTCCTCAGGATGGCCTTCATCTTCAATTTCTACAATGAGAAATTTCTCCCATTGAATTTTTCAATATCAAATTTCATTGCCATAGCTTCTTTTACGGATAGATCCCACTATTTCACTATCGTGAATAGTTCTCTGGAACCTTCAAAGAATGGGTAATACCTTCTTACTTTCTTATGTTGGAGGTTCCACCTTTTGGTGGCAACCACAAAGACAATAAACAGATATTACACACTCTAATCTGGCTCAGATACCAATTGTTGCGGAAGACGGCTATCGGATAGAGCAAAAGTGGGGTGATATCCTTACTTTGTGTGGTGTAACTCGTAGGCTTAGCTGCTGGGATAGGGAGTTGGAATGGGTTGTTCACTGTTTTAAAGGGAAATCTCTCCTTGTGAGGGTGTTTAAGCTTGCTTGGGCTAGTCATGTGTATGGGATTTGGAAGAAGAAAAATAGTAGGCGTTTTGGGGGAAAAGCTAGACTAGAGGGTGATGTGTTGAAGGACATCAAAGAAACTATCCAGATTCGACTGAAAGGATGGACTATCAACATAGTTGATCCTAAGAACGATTCCCTTTGTGTGAAATGGGGTATTTTTTAAGGTTGGGGGTTCACTTGTAATGGTTGTTTCTTTTGTTGTTTGTAGCAGGAGTTAAATTGTTGTTTATGCAGCAGGTTTCTACTTTTCGTGGGTAATGAAATTGAATTATCCAAAAAAAATATCGATAATTGAATTACAAGATTATTATAAATCAAAATTTCAATAATTATAATGGTTATAGCAGTTATTAACTGTAATCTAACCGTTAATTTATTATTTATTTTTAGAATAATAAATCTATCACCCAAAGAATATTGTATTAAAAATTTCATAAAAAATATTTGTCTAACACTCTTCTTCCTCATTACGATGAAACAGATAACCGAAACTAATAATATTAAGACGACGAAAGCCACTAAAGATCCTAATAGAATCCACATATTCCCAATCTTTAGTCTGTTTTATGAGGATCATTCATGGTTGATGAATCATATGGAAAACACATGAAACAATAGCCTAATTCAATGGAAGTGGTGAATGTTTCGAAATGTCAATAGTCGATGATGTGCATCGATGAATAGAGTCCATTGAAGTCAAGAAATCAACATGCAAACAGGGTGGATCCATAAATTAAAAAAAATGTCTAAAAATTTAGTATTATTTTCTTAAAAATTTAGTATTTTTCATTTTCTTTAACAAATTAGACTAAATCATTTTCAAAATATCGGGATACACTTGACCCTTAAGTGGCTTAATACATCTGCCCGCCATACAAATATTCTTTAAATTGGTTCCTCAGGTTGATTTGTGCAACAGGAAAAGGACTTGTAGGCTTAATCCATGAATAACTAAGCCATATCTAAACTTACTTGGTTAAATCACCGCTCTCAATCCAACATGTTATTTTTTTCCACTTTTGAGATCAAACCCTTGAACAAAACATCAACCGAGGCCAAAAAAACAACCGAGTTAACATTAACACCAACATGATTGTCATTGATATCACCGAGTGATGCGTTAAAACTGGTGTCAAACTCAGCGACGAAGAAAGAAGAAGAATTTTGAGAGTTAAAGTCATATTCGAGCTATAGGAGTACCATGTAGTCATTGAAAAAGATGAAAGAATCAAGGCTGGACGATATGGAGAAGACGATGGATTTGTGAACTACAGTTCTTTTGCTAACTATTTTATGTATATATTGTTTGGGTTTTTACATTTATTTAGTTTTCGGTAATAGTTAGTTATTTAGCTGTTGAGGAGGAAGAGAAAAAAGAAGAAGAAGAAGAAGAAAGAGAAAAGAAGAGAGTTAATGGAAGTAATTGTCACCTCGGATAAAACTAAGGGGAGGTGAATTAAAAGTTTGATGATTGTATTGTAAGCTTTAAAAGTTAGGTGACCATAATACAAGCGCCCTAAAAGTTTGAAACTATTTATGTACTTTACCCACTATTAAATTAAAATTTTTTGGGCAAAAAAGCAATTAAGCCATTTCGTAAATTAGCATTAAATGGGGACCAAAAAAGTTTCAAATTTTATTTTGACTTTTCTTAATTTACTTTATTAAATGGGATTATTTTAATTTATTTGTTTATAAATTTAAGATTGCTTTTATTTACATTTTAAATGTTTAGATTAATTGATTTTAATTACTTCATAGATTTTTTTTCTCGGTAAACATGGAATTACTTCGGAAAAGTCGATAAACGTAGCAACTAGCCGCATATAACAGCTCCCAAATACCACAAAATAGCCACAAACTACTCAACAAATTAAACATTAACGGATAAAAATATTATTTTCTAATTTCGATTGAGATTTGAAGAGATTATAATGTAATTCAATAAGTTTAATTGAAGGAAAGAGCAAACAATGTCAGGTTCTTTAAGGTTATTTTATCATGTCACGTCAGCTTTCGTTAATGATAGAAATAATTTTTTTGTTAATGGCAGTAACTCAAATGAAAGTTTTTCAATTTCAATAACCAAAATGAAAATGACCCAAAGTTTAGTGATTCTTATTAGAGTTTACCCTAGAAAAGTCTAAAAGACAGCCACAGCATTAACCCAAAATATCAGCTTACCAAATTCAACACCAAAAAACACGCGCAATATGCTGCACCGATCACGGCACCTAGCCACGCTCCCATCACCATCACTATTGAAACAAGGATTCAGCATCAATAACGATCGAATTTCTATTTCGTTTTTGGTACAAAGACACGAATAAAAGCTGTAGCTTCAGAAATGGGGTTGAATCAGTCAACAAGGAGGTTCCAGTGCTCAAATCATCATGTTTTTATCACTGAATTTCGTAATAAATCATACAGAAAACATAAAGTACAGAAGATATGCAATGCAAGTACTTATTCGAACTTCATCGAGGATCTAGTTCCGAAATAGAAGCCTCATTGACAGAGTCTTGGATGGCTTCTCTTTCAGATTGATTAAAGAGTAGCAATGAATCGGACATCGTTGCTGTCCCCGTGTTGGTATTCATAGAAAATGCAGGTCTCGATGGAACCGGAAGAGACATGGAATAGCTACTAAGCATGAGAACCACAGAGGCAATGGTTGGTCTATAAGCAATGTTTTCTTGAACACAAAGCAACCCGAGATGGATGCATCTCATTATTTCGCTTCTCGATCCATCCCTCAGAATCGGATCAACAAATTCCAAAGCAGTCCCTTCATTCCAGTTTCTCCATGCCTGCAAATGTTCGACGTTATGAACTTACATTGTCTTTTAGCAACATCTATTCCATTATATACCATAACCAGAGTATGGAGATCTTACATGGGTAAGCAGAGAGTCTCCTACTTGGTTGGTCAAGCTGTTGATTTTGTTCCCACTAATGATTTCTAAAACCAACACTCCAAAGGCATAAACATCAGATTTAACTGAATATTGACCATGCCATGCATACTCTGGAGCCATGTATCCACTGCATATGCATATACATTTTAATGAATAAATGTAACAAACAACACATAAAATCTCATCATTCATGATACTTACTAGGTCCCAACGATTTTGCTTGTATCGGCTCGAGTTTGATCAACCACAAACAATTTAGCCATTCCGAAATCTGAGATCTTAGGATTCATCTCTTCATCCAACAATATGTTGGCTGCTTTTAAGTCACGATGGATGATTCGGTACTGAGAATCTTCATGGAGATAAACAAGTCCCTTGGCTGTTCCCTCTATAATTTTGTACCTCTTGTCCCAGTTTAGTAGTAATCGTTTTACTGGATCTGCAAAAGTCGTAAAATTATACAACTAAAATGCATGTTCAATAGGTGTAGTTTAGAAGGATTGAAACGGTACCGAATATAAAGTTGTCAAGGCTTGAATTGGGCAGAAACTCATAGATTAGAACCCTTTCTTTTTGTTCGAAGCTAAAACCAAGAAGCTTAACCAGATTCCTGTGTTGAAGCTTCGCCAATAGCATGACTTCGTTCTTGAATTCTCGTGTTCCTTGTCCCGAATTTTCGGACAGCCTCTTTATAGCTACCTCTCGTCCATCTTCAAGCTTACCCTGATAGAATTCGGAACAAGGAACAATGAGGGAAAATAACAACTATTTTTCCAAGTATTCGCTGTCACATATTCATTCTGTCTTTTTTCTTTGAGATGATGGAAATTTTCATACAGCAAGTCCTAAATTACCTTATAAACAGGACCGAATCCACCTCGTCCAAGCAGGTTTGCATCGGAGAAATTTTCTGTTGCAGCCCTCACTGCATGAAAGTCGATTTGCAACGATTCAACGTGCATCTTGTTATCTGCAGGTTAACAAAGAATCATTTAAGTTACATAAAATTGCAAAGGATTGATTATTAGTGAATTATCTTTTGTTATAAGACTACAACAGTCAAACAAAAATAAAATCAAAGGCCAACTTACTTTGATCATTCTGTTTCTTTTTCTTGATCCTCATGGGAAGAACAGCAATTCCAAGTATGACAAGCACTACGATGAAGGTGACGCTCGGAACAACTATAATGACTAATGTTCGGGATGAAATGCCTCCCCCTTCTGTACAAGCAAGAACATTGTAAGTACCTTTAGACAACATTATAATGACTAATGTTCAGCATGCATCTTGCAGACCGGTACTTACCTTTTCTGATTTCGGAGTCCACTGACTGTGGCAGAGGACTAGCAGCTGGGGGGTGGAGGACTAGAAGGTGAGGGTGGAGGAGACAAAGACGCCGTTGTAGAAGAATTGGCTGTATAGAAGGGATACAAATCCCACCTGAATAAACAGTTAGGCCTCTGAACACCACCTCCTTGCTTCCCATGGCAACAGCTTACATAGGAATTTGCAGATTGCCTTAGGCAGTAGTCACAATCCTGCTCCGATAAATCTGGAGTGCACTGCATTAGTGAATATATCTTCCGGAACACCGTAACGTCTGCTTCCCCAGTTGCGTACTTGAGACTAGAAGAGCCTTTGGAAGCCTTCCTAACCACACTGTTTATCAAACTCTCCCAAACCGCATCAAATTCCGTTAAGTTCGATGTGAGGTTGCCGGTATTATAGAATGCCTCAGCAGGTTCTAGCTCCGGGGTTCCGAAAAAAGAGTGATCTGCAAAATGCACAATGCAGAAATCCCCTGTCCATGAATAGGCCTCTTTCTGGTTGGGACAATTGGCCATGAGCTCGTGGATTGTGTCATCATTGACAAGGCTAAAACATTTCTCTGGAGTAGAGTCTCCTTTGCACATAGCAAGAGCGTAAACTTTGTCGGAGCCCTGGCCAATAGTGGTATTGAAGAATCCACCGTTTGCAGAGGCATTAGATGGGAGTGAAGCGAGAAGAAGGTCCCGGTTATTGCCATACGTGCTGTTTGTGGTAAAATTACCAGTGTCATAGCATCTTGGGGCAGCGGCAACAAGGCCGATGCCGATAACCAGATAGGAGAGAATTGAAGAAACAGCTTTAAGTTTAACCCACATTTTGAAACTTCAAGCAAAACTGAATGGAAACTTACAGTCTTTAATTCATCGGTCTTACCTGCGACTATGTCTTGGCAATGGGACCAGTTTTCCACTATTCCTACTTTTGAATTTACTACGTGCCTGTCATCCTCTAGGACCCATTTGCCATTTACTTGTACTCTTGAGCTAACTAGCACAGTACCTACCCTTCTTATGGTTAAGAATTCGTGATTTGATTTTTCTTGTAAGCCATATACGTCATTGTAAAATATGAAAAATATTCTTTATGATTTTAAAATTGAAAAAATTAATCTACATAAATACCAGTTTTTTTTATTTATTTAAAATTAAACTATAAAAACCCAAAAATAAATTTCATGCAAGTTTAAACTATATTAATAATAATGTATTTCAATATATGATTTTATCAAATTATAATTAATTAAATTTAATACGTTAAGTTACAATTAAGTTTCAAATTGTTTATGACACATTTTTTTGTCTTCTGTATTTTAGTTTTTGAATTTGACATAATAACTGATCAAAATGATTCTTATTTGTATTATTGTTGATCTTTCTTGTTTTTGATCATCAGATTGGATTTAGATACGCTATTGCATTCGTGATGTTGTTGTCGCTCGACTCTGATTTTGTGAATGATACGTTTTTCTTCAATGCCAGTGTTGCTATAACACCCCAAAATTTAATTAAAAGAACAAATTGCAAATTTTTAAAAGTCTACAGCTCAGTTTTGGAACATGTGGGAAGTTCAGGGACTTAACCTTGAATTATCCCATTTATTCTGGTCATTGAAAAATAAAAATCAGAGAAAACCCCCGTGTGTTGGAAAACCAAGACCCTGAAAACCCAAACCCCAAACCAAACGACCCCACCATCGCCCCTTCGGTCAGCCACTTATGGTCGGTGGTCGAGTGCACCGTCGTCGCCATCGGACTCAATAACGACCGAGGATCCAACCCTGACCCTTAGATTGCCCGTTTAGGCCGCTGTTAATCGCATGGAGAGTGCCAGGCCACCGCGTCTAAAACCCCTCTGTCAATTTGTCGAAAGGAGTCACTGTTTTTCGTGGAGAAGCTGAAGAATCTTCGTCGAAACCTTCGCCGCCGCACGATTTTGCTTCGATTCTAGTCGCCTCTGCCATCATCTCGCCTCACCGTGTGCACCATTGGACTCACCGTCGTTGTCCGCCCAAACCCAACCGGCGGGTTACCTTGTCGTCGTCAGTTTCATCCGTCTGCCGTTGGTGAGCTTTCCGAACCCATTTAATCTATTTCGAGTTTATTGGTTGATTGTTGGGTTTAATTTTGGTTGGAAATGATGTGTTGAAAATATTAAATTTTCATATAATTTAAGTGTTTTTCTATTTTTTGTTGATAATTTATTTCTGTAATATCTAAAATTTTATAATTATTTTCAACCATTAATATTTATAAATTCACTCGTAATAAAATCTTACCCAGGCCACCGCGTCTAAAACCCCTCTGTCAATTTGTCGAAAGGAGTCACTGTTTTTCGTGGAGAAGCTGAAGAATCTTCGTCGAAACCTTCGCCGCCGCACGATTTTGCTTCGATTCTAGTCGCCTCTGCCATCATCTCGCCTCACCGTGTGCACCATTGGACTCACCGTCGTTGTCCGCCCAAACCCAACCGGCGGGTTACCTTGTCGTCGTCAGTTTCATCCGTCTGCCGTTGGTGAGCTTTCCGAACCCATTTTAATCTATTTAATCGAGTTATTGGTTGATTGTTGGGTTTAATTTTGGTTGGAAATGATGTGTTGAAAATATTAAATTTTCATATAATTTAAGTGTTTTTCTATTTTTTGTTGATAATTTATTTCTGTAATATCTAAAATTTTATAATTATTTTCAACCATTAATAATTTATAAATTCACTCGTAAATAAAATCTTACATTCGACTTTTCAACCGATTTGCCGTACTCAATGTATTGAGATGATTAATAGAGCTTATTGTTTTAGGACTCCAGCATTACCTTAATTATGCAAACCATACATAGGACCACAAGTAATAAATTAATAATGATCATACATTATGATATACATACATTATCCATAACTAAAAAATATTCTAAATAAATATTATTTTATGATCACTCAAGATAATTAATTTCCATGTTTCTTCCTTTAGAGGTGAGGTGTACAGTTAAAGAGACACGCCAAGGAACTTGTCTTTATGATTTGTCCAACATAAAGTCTGCTTGACCGACCAAACACGGTTTTGCTGTTGTGTCTTCAACAATGGAATGATTTTTCCATCGTTCCCGCTTTCTTCGAAGTTTGTTTGGTCTGTTCAACATTTGACCACGCTTTTAGGGTAAACTATATACAAATGGTCATTGAACTATTATTTATTTTATGTTTTGATCATCAAACTACATTTTTCTGCAAATTTGATCAATAGTGTTAAGTTTTTTTCCCACTTTGTCCACTGTTCGTTAAACAAAAAATAAAGATGATTATTTATAATTAAAATGCGGATAAAATTGATAGATTATTTATATATTCAAGTTCATTTATTGTTTTTCTCAAAACATGATAGAATTGATAAAATATATAAAATTTAGGGACTGATATTATATTATCATATCACATCATGATATCCGTTATTTGTTTAACCGTGGCCACAATAAAAATATAATGTTAGTGATCAAGCTTGTAGAAAAAATAGTCCGATAACTAAAGTAGAAAAGAAATAATAATATAGTAACACGTCAAGGATTGTTGGGCGTGAACAGGGATTCAAATTGCGGTCGCGGTTGTGTTTTCGGTCGCGTTATGTTTATCGCGGTTGCGGACGTAACGGATGCTATCGCGGTCACTGCGGGTATCACGGACGTGAATTTTTTTAAATTCGCACATTATTATAAATATAGTAATTATAATTATAATTATAGAAAATCACTTTTAATGATTTTTAGAGTATTTTGTAAAACCTTTTTTTTTATCTCAAATGCCTAATTTCTTTTGTACAATAAAATGAAATAACAATCAAAATCCAAATCGATGCCAAACAATCTACTTTTCTATTAAAAATTCAATAGCCCAAATTACAACACAAATTAAGACAAACAAAACATTAACCCATTTAACCCAAACCCAGTTAGGGCCCGTCCAGCTTCTACTTCAGCCATCCAGCAACCTATTATGCAAACAAGTAATCCCTCCAGTAACCAACTAGCACTACTGTCCTCCAGAAGCTTCTCCAAAGATGCTTCATAAGCATTTCATGCAAAAACAGAGAAAAAGGAATCCTTAAGAGAGGCAATGCAGTTTGCTCGTTCAAGAATGAAGCCTTCATCTTCTTAAGCCTTCATCTCCCTCGAACTGAATAGTGAACAGAGAAGCAGATGAAACTGATGCCTGCCGGAAGTATCAGCTCCAGCGGTGGTAGTGGTGGTGAAAGGAGTCGAGCTGGACTTGCCCGCTTCCGCTTAGCGCCAACCACCTGGTTGGAAGCTCTTCTCGAGGAAGACGAAGAGGACCCATTAACGGGGATTAACGGGAAAAATGGTCCGTTATAGTCGCGATCGACCGTTACCCGTTAAATTACGGTCGTTATCGGCCGTTATGGGTGTGATTCCGTTTCACACCGTGATTTCGGCTGATATCGGTAATAGGAGCCGCGATACCGCGATATAACGGTTGTTATACGTTACACGACTGTTTTTGAATCCCTGGGCGTGAATTCATATATAAACAACTTTTCGTTTTTCAGTAAGCAACATCCTAAGAGCCGCACAATATTTCTATGTTGTAATTTGGCAATTAACATGACTTCATTCTTGAACTCAAACAACCCTTGACTAGAAGTTTTCTACCCTTTTAATTGCAATTTCATTACCATCTGCTAGAGTGCACTGGAAATTAATAGTAACATTGTTGCGGAAGACAACTATCGGATAGAGCAACATCACAACTGATAATTTGAGAAAATAAAATATGAAGATAAAATAGACACAAAATTTACGTGGAAAACCCCTAAATAATATAGGGTAAAAAACCACGGGCAACGGTAGAAGAATTTCACTATGAGAAAATAGGAATTACAACTTCTCTCGATCTACCAAGGAGAAAACAATTATAATTCTCTCTGGATAAAAAGGAGAAAACAACTCTCAAGAAACTCTCTAAATTCTCTAGTATTGGAAGAAAACTAGAATGCTTTGGGATGGTTTTGAAGCTAAATGAGCTAGGGTATTTATAGTAGAAGCTTTAAGGACTAATCTTAAAAATACCCTAAATTACAATGACTAAATGTGAGATTTTGCCATGTCACTTTTCAACCATTATTAGTGCTAACTATGAACCATTATTGTTGCCAACTTACAATGCATTATGAACCATTATTATTCATTATACAACTATTATTAGTTGCATGACAACTAATAATCTCCCACTTGAAGATTTGATTGGAACAATCATATATTCACACCATTCTTTCTACCTTGTATCATCATGTTGCTTACATCTCTGACAGGCCACAAGAGGATCGACACCAGGTAAATTTATCAGCATTGATCGCTTTCGTCATAAAATCTGCTATGTTGTCTTTTGTATGGATATTCTGCATATCTACTGTCCCTTCTTCCACCTTTTCACGAATGAAATGGTACTGAACTCGTATGTGCTTTGTCCTTGAATGAAATGATAGATTCCTTGCTAGATGCAAGGTACTTTGACTGTCACAAAACAAAGAGACATACTCTTGATTGTGCCCAAGCTCCTCCAATGGCATTTTCAACCAGATTGCTTCTTTACTGGCTTGTGTAGCTGCTACATATTCTGCCTCTGTTGTGGATGTAGCCACAACTGACTACAATTTTGAAACCCAGCTTACAGCTCCACCAGCAACTTTGAACACATATCCTGTAGTAGATTTGCTTTTATCCAAATCCCCTGCATAGTCAGAATCGACATACCCATTGATATGTAAGTTTGATCCTCCGTAACATAATGCAACATTTGAGGTCCCTTTGATATATCTCAAAACCCTCTTTACATTATT